GAGGTGAAGTTAGGTTGTATTATGCAAAATCTGTGTTTTTTTAGGTGCTTTAGTGATAATTTGTGGTTTTTAGGGTTTGTTTTTGGATAAATTTGAGCTGTTGTTTGTTTATTTTGTGGGTTCTTTTAAGGAATGAATTGGAGCTTTTGTTGATTCTGTGGTGGTGATGTTGTTTGTTTGCTAGTTCGGCGTTGAATTCTGAGACAAATGAACATGTGGCCATAAAGAAGATAGCAAATGCATTTGATAATAAGATTGATGCAAAGAGGACACTTCGCGAGATCAAGTTGCTTCGCCACATGGATCATGAAAATGTCAGTGAGTAATTGATTAGTTTTATTGATGCTCGTTATGTTCCATGCCAATGTGTAGTTTTTAGGGTTTTTGAGAAATGATGAGAGTGAGAATTAGGTAAATTCGGTGACCAATCAATAAAAGTATCAAAATGATAATATGATTGAATTATTTTGCTTTGGTAGACATGAAGCCAAAGTGGATATTATTATTCTAGCTTCCATTAAGAGACATTAGAGATTTCATTCCAAATAGAAACTGCACGATGACAGTTATTATGATTATTGTATCACAATTAGTCATAGTTGGTAGCTCATTCATGGCACTTTTCTTTTAACTTGCATCTCAATGGTCTTCCAATGAAAGTACATGACTGGATATTCTTAATCGGATTGCTGAAAATGAAATTAAGACCATGAGTTAGGTTGAAGCTGGCAATGATTTAGTTAAGCAATTCTCATAGATTTAAATCTAAAACTATCTGAGGTGGCATCAAATGGCTTTTAACCATTGGTCTTTAAAACATAGGGTTTTAAGCTGTTTCCATCCTTTCTGTATAGCTGTCCTTTTGATTATGTCGTAATGCTGACTGCATCCAATCCATAAACCCAGAAACAAAACAAAGTTTGTTCCCTTTTGTCAAGATCTTGAATAAAAATCCTTGTTCGTCACTTAATTTGAAAAATATCTATAAAGGGAAGATTTTATGGGAGAAAGAGGTCAATGGTATTACTTTGATGGTATTTTATGTTACATCACTTGTGTCTGTCGTGCAGGTTGTGGCAATCAGGGATATAATTCCTCCACCGCAGAGGGAATCATTTAATGATGTTTATATTGCATATGAGCTAATGGACACTGACCTGCATCAGATCATTCGCTCCAATCAAGTATTATCAGAAGAGCACTGTCAGGTTAGTATTAAATATTTGGTTTGTTTAGAGATAAGTACCCGTTATCTGAATTTTCTCATCCCTTGGTCTTAATATGGCTCCATCTAGGGCTACTATTATGGCTGATTGACAGCCCATTATGTATTTTTCTTTTACTCAATATTCCTTTTTAAGATAAGTGATTTCTGTGGTCAACATGGCCTTTGCATATTCTTTGACATATGAGAAAGGACCTGAGTTATGTGAGGTCTAGTCAGCATTGAATTTCTATTGAGCCTTGCGTGACAAAAGGGTATAACGGTAGTTTGTTTGTTTGGATACAAACATAATATGGCAAGCTCAACTAAATACAACATTGGTATATTTCCTTAATTTTTACTTTATCAAACTAAGTCAAAAAGCTAAGGACCAAACATGTTCTTCTATTTTTTGTTTTGCGCAGTATTTCCTGTATCAGATACTCCGTGGATTGAAATATATACATTCTGCAAACGTCCTGCATAGAGATTTAAAACCTAGCAATCTCCTCCTGAATGCCAATTGTGACTTGAAGATATGTGATTTTGGTCTGGCTCGTGTCACCTCGGAAACTGATTTCATGACAGAATATGTTGTTACAAGATGGTATCGAGCACCAGAGCTGCTCCTGAACTCCTCAGATTACACTGCAGCTATTGATGTGTGGTCAGTGGGTTGTGTGTTCATGGAGCTGATGGATCGAAAGCCCCTATTTCCTGGCCGAGATCATGTGCAACAGCTTCGTTTGCTTATGGAGGTAAATTAACTGTTAAATTTCTGTTGGCATGTTCCTATCTGCTGAAAAAGTTTTAGGATCACACCTGACTTGAATTATTGATAATACTTCGAATGTCATGCCTTTTATCCTTTTGAAAACAAGGGGGGCGATCTCCTCTTCTTCCTTCTTTTTTCACAATCTTGAAAAGAATTTGTAGTGTAAACCATAGCTTGGTAATCTTGACCTGAAAGGAAGTTGTTTTAGCTGCATTTCTTAGATAGACACCTTTAAGTGGCCTTTAGTTATGCCTCTCCGGTTCTTGATTATTAAATGCCATTACAAATCTAGTCAAATGTGTGCAGAAACTAGTTAGTATTACATGTTTTCAAATAGGCATATGGATATATAGTATCCATGTGTCATCTTCTCAACACGAAGTTTTGCAATTTATGATTTATCATTTCTAATACTTGCAGCTGATTGGCACCCCATCAGAGGCTGAGTTGGGTTTTTTGAATGAAAATGCAAAGAGATACATTCAGCAACTGCCACTTTATCGCCGTCAGTCATTCACTGAAAAGTTTCCAACTGTCCACCCGGCAGCTATTGATCTTATTGAAAAGATGTTAACTTTTGATCCCAGACAGAGGATTACTGGTGAGTTTGTTTCCTTCACCTTCAGTGTGTGTCAACACCATTGGAATTACTCATTTTAATTTTTGTCTTATTTTTCTTGGTCTTTGGTCTGTCACAAATGATTCGCATTGCTTAGTTTATATGTATTCTCTTAGGATATTAGAAATGGGATCTTGTGGTGCTTTGATTGGTATTTATAGTCTTACACTGACTGTTTATTTAGCAATTAATGTCATGAGTGACTTTGAGAATTAAAAACCCTAGCTTTACTTTCTAGCCTTTGCTTCAAATAAATTATAATTATTGGGAAATACAACCCTGTATCTGTTTGCACACCAGGCAATTTGAGTTCTCTTTGTTTTGACTGTAAAACTCGTCGAAACGTGGTATTCAATGGAACTCCAACCTGCAATGGTTTTATTACCAATTGGTGAAGCCTCTCTCCCCCTGCACCTTTCTTCCCTTAATCCAAAGTTTCCTTGTATCTGGCAGTAGTGTATAAGCCCGTAGGGATCATCTCACTTAGATAAGTGGCAAGTCATGGTATTGAGGCATGTAAATGAGTGGAGGGGGACTTGGGGGAGGGGAGGGGAGAAAATGTCATTTCATTATTATCTGCCAAAAACTGTACATCTCATAGATTTTCATGCACTACTGCATTTGGGAGAGCAGGGATCATTTTTGTTGCTTGCAATTTTATAGGAACTAGAACATGTTTTTGTGACTTTCGATATCAAATTGGGGGTACAGTTCTAGTTTCCGTTGGGGATTGTAAGTCTCCTGTCTAGGAAAGGAATGCTACCAGCATCCTTTGGGAAGTGGTCTAGGGCATGCGTCAACTTACCTTTTATTTTCTTATCATGGTCAACTTAACTTTTTGGATTGCCTAATGTTGCTAAAAATGCAACTATGCAAGTCTTAAGTCTTCTGCGCAGCAATCAACTCATGCTGTGCTGACCTTTGAAAAACTGGAATCGGTTTGCTGACTCTCTTGCATGTGGGGTCGTTGATTCTATGTCACTGTCCCCCCTGTCGAAATTCTGTGTGCACAAATCTACAAATTATTCTTGGTCTTCAGAAAAGAAAAAAATAAACTGTGTGCCAACATTCAGTTAGGAGAAATTTTGAAACATATAATAGATGTCTCATGATGTTTAGGTTAAGTGAATAAGAGATGCATTTTCTCAGGTGAATAAGAGATTCTTTTTCTGATGAGGTAAATATGCAATAATCTAGATATCACTTGGATTGACCATCCATACCAGCTGGAACTTGACTCCAATTTAAAGTGGACTTTAATAGAATTACACTTCTATTATTCAATGGCTGATAAATTCATGAGTAGATAATGGTAATAGATAAAAATCTAAGAGGAGGCAGATGGAGACATGTTCCCTTCTTTGTCTTTCTTGTATTGGGATAGTAACCAAACACTACTTAAATGCTCATATAGCTTTTCCTTAACTGATTTTTTTTTTTTGGCTGAACATGATATTGTTACATGTCATGATATTACATTATTTTGATATCCTGCATGCTATTTCTCCTCTTTCACGTATAATCGTTGTCTTAGATTTCTGAAATTCACTTCAAATAATATCCATTCCTCCTAATTTGTTGCAGTTGAGGATGCACTTGCTCATCCATACCTAACATCGCTTCACGACATCAGTGACGAACCAATCTGCATGACCCCCTTCAGCTTTGACTTTGAGCAGCATGCACTGACTGAAGAACAGATGAAGGAACTTATTTATCGGGAAGCTCTTGCATTCAACCCTGAATACCAGAACTAGTGACAATGAGTCATTTAATCATTGTGACTGATCAGCTTGATTTCCTTGATTTATATGTTTTCTAGTGATTTCTTTCATGGTGTAAATACGTTCCATCCAAAACCGGGTGGTTCCTGAATCGAATTATTTATTATGGACAGAATTCAGGGGAGCAAAACAATTAAAATGGTGTTTGTGTCGGCGGTCGCTGTGTTGTTCTTTCTATTGAATTGAGCCAACTTCTTTCCTGGCATTGACTTTCACATATGAAATATCATGCATCACTGGTCAGCGTGCCAGCTTACAATTCATGGACGCCCTATGATAGCCTTCGCATGGGGCAACCAGTCACCATCCTTGTTATGTTTTCGCTTCTCATGTTCATGTCAGTTAAAACGGAGAAGGAAAACCACAGGGTTCTTCGGGGTCGAACTACCAGCAGAAACATCACAAGCATAAAATGTTGTGTGTTCAAATTTATAACATCACTGCTTAATTTATATGATACATCTCACATGCTTGATTAAGCGTGTATTATCATAATATTCTGAAAGAAAGTGCAGGAACATCACAAGCATAAACTGCTGTGTGTTCAAATTCATAACATCACTGCTCAATTTATATGATACATCTCACATGCTTGATTAAGCGTATATTATCATAATATTCTGAAAAGAAATGTTGGGGCTGAATTTTTAAGGAGAAAAATTTGGAATCAAATTAATAGCATTACAAGCTCAGTGACTTGAAAAGGAAGGAGCAATTGGATACATATTTGCTCAAAGCAAATTGCTGGAAAAAATGCTATAAAGAACAAGGCTATTGATATCCTCTTATAGGAAGAGACATCTGAAGGGTACCCTAGATAATCTTTGATCACGCTATTAGTTCTTCAAGCTTCCAAAGAATTTAGAAAGTGGCACAGGCCCAGCAGCCTCTTCATCATCAATACTGGAGTGCTTGGTTCTTGACTTGCGCTTCTTTTCCTTTGTTTTTCTAGACCTTGACTTTGATCTTTTTGATTCCCTCTCATCTTCACTACTTGAAGAATCCGAGGATGAACTGGAGGAGCTAGAATCATTGGATCTCCGCCTCGAATGCTGCAAGGTAATGCAAGATCAGGGTCCATTTCGAGTTTATATACCAAGGGAATGAGAAATTCATGGCAGTAGAGATGGAAGTAGGGAGGATAGTAATGATCAATCAAGAAGACTATACAGTAGACACTTGATAAAAGAACACATGCATTTGGAAGAGACAAGAAACAGAAACAAATTCATGCAACAGCCAGACAGGAAAACTAGCTACCCTCTACTAACAATAACCCAGAGAGAACTTCACAGGGCAAACAGCCAAACTCTTCAATTTGGAACTTCTTTCCAGATGATGAATATCCAAAAATCCCTGAATGACAATTAGTCTACCAGAAGTCATGCTACCTTAATCAGATAACAAGATCTAATCTGACCATCAATGGCACAAGGACTGCCTGTTCTGCATAAGGAGATGTTATTCTACGTGTATTTAGTTTCATTAAGAAACAACTAGCCCAAAAAAGTAACATGGACTTTTCAATAAGATTGATAAAATCAAATTAGGCATCGTAGTTTTGAGTCACGTAAAATTTAATATTCTAGAGTCTAGACAATGCATTCATTTAAAAAGTAAAACTATTAGAAAACTCAGGCACCTTTCTTTTTTTACTGCTGCGTTTCTTTGAATCTCTGTCCTTTCTATCTGCAAGAGCACATCTCAAATTTAGAAGAGGGGAAGAGGATGGTTACACAGGAAGAAGACACATCCATATACATACCCTTTTGATGACTAGATTTGCTCCCAGAGTGATTCCGGCCATGAGCAAGTTTGCGTGCCCTTTCAGCATCCAATTGAGCTCGGTACTCCCTCATCATTCTATCCTTATCTGCTTCTAGTTCCCCCTTTCTCATTTCATCCTCCTGGTAAATACAGAGCACAAATTCAGCTTTCATAAAAAATCTAGAAATATGAAATCATCATTTAAAACTGCATCAGTACGTTTAAGCATGCATCAATCATGTTACAAACAAATATGATGCACAAATAACAGTTGCACTAACAGCAAGAGAGTTGGGAGAGAAGATAGCATATCCACATATTACCTTTTGCTTTTTCTTGAACTCTTCCCAGGTTACCGTGTGAGTTGTATTAAGGCTGGCCAAACGAGCAGCATGCCACTCTGGTGAATGAAAAGAACCATCCACCTGCGACTCGCCTCATCAGAAATGTTCCATGAAAATAAAAATAGTAAAGAAAACGAATTCAAAATACAAAAACTACACTTCACTGCACACCTGTATCGCTTTATTTCTTTACACACACACACAATTACAGCACCCAAAAAACTGTAGAAGAAGAATTATTGCGCTTAATACTATAAACAAGCATGCACAACAGATAGAGAGAAAAAATGCCTAGCCGTCCTGTCATGCCTCAGTTCTCTTTTTCTTTTTTTTGACATGTAAGCGTTAATGACATATTCCCAACAGTTAGGATGGCCTATCTCTAAGAAATCAAAGTCTAAGGATCATACTTGAAAAGGTCTTATAACAATGCAAGTTAAAATATTTTACAAGAAGGAAACAAAAATTGTTTAAGAAGTAAACACAACCACAATTCAACATGCAAAAAGCAACCTGTATGGCACACTAGCATCACATCAGAGCAGCTCAAGGCTATACAGCAACAAGATAAGCTTCAAGGAACATTATACACCATCCTAAGTACAATGGCGAAAACACACTTTTACTCTTAACCACCCACCAGGATGATAAAATAGTTGAAGGAGCTTACAATTAGTGCTTAACAAATGAATTAACTACCACTCAAATCCCAAAAAGAATAAACAATTAAATAAATTAACCTAGATGCTTACAAAGCTTATATTCTTAGTTGCCCCAAAGCATCCAACTTTTCCGGCATCTTATGAATATCAATAAGCCAATAATCATGCTCACAAATCCACAGTAGAAAATTAACAATAGAAACAGTAATGTTAATCCATTGGCAAAAATTATTCAATAACCACTAAAGATTATGCAAAGCAACAAAAATCAAAGCAAAGAACAAAACTTTAAAACGAAAATTACAAGGCAACAGGCAATATAATAATAAAATATAGAAAATTGAAGATGGGAATTTAAAGAATAGTATGAAACGGGACAAACCATGCCATCTTCAATCTCTTCAGGACCACCAGAGCTGGAGCCAAGCCTGGCTCTTTGCATAGCTTTGTAAGCTTGATTTTTACCCATTTTGAGAAATCTAAGAGACACCCAGATGAGAAAACAAGGGGGATTGCAAGAAAAATTGAGTTTTTAAGAAAAAATTGAGACCCAGAAAGAGAATCAAGAGAAATTTTGGAGAGAGATTAGAGCATTATCAACGGTCCAGAGCCCATGAGAGAGGGAGGGAGGTAGGGAGGGTGAGAAGGTGTTTGGTTTAAGTTAATGGATCTGCGGGTGTTGTCGTTGTTGAAAGGCCCAGGAGGTTTTATAATATAGCCGGAAACACTTAGGGTTATTGCTGGTATAATATAGCCGGAAACACTTGGGTTTCGTTTATTTCGGTGGGAATGCCCTTTGGCTTATATTTCGCACGAGAATTCCCAATTAAAATCTTAGTTATCAAAAAATTATAGTTCATAAAATCTTTTACAATTTATTTTTTTCATATTTTTAAATACATATTTTATATGATTATGAATTTATTACTCATGTTATTATTATATTCGTAGGTTCCAATCATGAAAAGATTTGAAAGTAAAATTTTCATATTTTTTTTATCAAAGTGATTTTTTATAATAAATAATATCTTTTTATTAATTTATGTTTCAATTTATATTAATTCAATCTTAAAAAGTATTTTTTATATTAACTATTTTATTTTCAGATTGAATAAAAAAATTAAACATAAAAAATAATATTTATCAAAAACTTTTTGATATTATTATAAAATTTGATATAATGATTTAAATTTGAAAAATCTTGACCCAAATATTTTATTAGCCTGATTTTTAAATTAAATTATATAAAAATTAATTCATTTAATTTTTTTAATTTTTTTAATTCAAAAAAAAATCAACTCAATAATAAAATTAAATAAAAACTTTATATTCTCATCCAGCAGTGCCAGCTTTTGCTCCATATGCGATCAAAACGTTGCATTTAGGAAGCGATGTCATGCCACTCATTTCCCTGCCTTGAGGCACAGTTTCTATAGTCCATGGCGGATTCTCTTCAGTTATTGCAATTCGCCCGCATGTATCTAAAGCCTTGACATGCACTTTTTCTAAGTATCCATAAGCTTGGAAAAGTTATCCACAGGAATACTCGCTATACTCACCCAACCAGGCTTTCCCCAGCCGAAATCTGCTTCATAAATGGGGAATCGACGCCAGCTAGTAAACTCATAGACATCCACTTCACTTTTTTTCTTGTCCTTCATTTGCCTCTTTTATGTCATTGCATAGCATCAAAGCTAAGTCGACAGCAACATCTGTGATGGTACTCCTCAGTCCATCACGGATTCGGCCGACAATGTCATGAATTTGGACATTGCTCTCACCTTTTGGTGGAAATCTCGCATTTGCGATGCCTTCGAAGTTTCCAAAACAGTATTCAGGTATCGGTAGTGTTGTCCTCGATCCCACGCAAGTTAACTGCAAATCTCGAGATGGATGGCCTCAAATGGCCATTCCTAGCTTCAGCCACCTTCATGAGAGTATTCCATGTCAGTGCTACCACGACTTCCACTCGTGTCGTTTGGCGTTTCAGCAGCTCCGTACCACGAAGACTAGCATTGACAACGGCTGCTTTCAGCTTTGATGTTGCTGCGCATCAAAAACAAACCTTTTACCAGAGCCTTGTGATTAGCTTTTAATATCTCTTGCGGTACTGGAATATTTGTAGGATTAGTCATATCTCTAGCAGGAAAGATGGAGCCCAGTTGAAAATTCGGGAGATACTCTACTTTATCCATCCCAATTCGATCGGCGAGCACCAGCGAAAGCATTAATAAATGCAAACGCCGAGAATGCATCAAGGATCCTGTGAGGAACACCTGCACCAACGGCTAGTCCACCACATTCAAACTTGTTGAATTGGACAGCGACCAAAGGGGGCGGCATCCGAGTCGGACAGAAGATGGACCAGTTGATGTAGCAGCTCAATTTCATGCTGATCTACTCTCTCAAGAAGCTCAGAGAGGCTTCTGTTTACATGGACTTCCAAATATTCAGCTCCCTTATCATTACAATGAATTGAAGCATCATCTTTTATGTATCTGCCAGCTAATGGATAGAAAAGGGTTAAGACTTCTGATAGCGATTGTTGCAACTGTTTGCTTCTTTCTTCATTAATGTTGACATGGCCATGTTCTTGATCAGCTTCGGCTGGATAGAAGAAGATACGGGGCACGTACAATGATGGAGCCATTTGTGATATGGGTGATTTCTGAAGAAGCTCTTGATTTTTATAAAAGTTGTTTTTTTCTGTACGTAAACAAAACAAGAGAATTAATATAATCTCCCTCCCTTGCATTACTTGTTTCTATAAAGATTTTTGTTAACGTGATCAGAAATCTTATTATTAAAGAGAATAATATTACAAAATTAATCAAGCATTAAGATGGTGATTTTCATCAAAACTTTTTGCTTCTGTGTTAATTTGCCGATTGTTTTGATTTTATGTGCTAATCTCCCAACTTGTCTAATATTTCTGAAGCTGATACAATTAAAATAAAAACACGAAGCTGATACAATTTGTTTATGATCTCCAGCATGTTTTTTTATGCAGATCCCCCTAGACAGAAACTAAATGGAAGGCCTTAAATGACCACTTTAGACACCATGTTGAGAGCATTCCATACTAATCCTATCACGATCTCCACTCGTGTCAGTTGGCGTTTCAGCAATTCTGAACCACCAAGAACAGCACTGACTGCTGCTTTCAGCTTTGATATTGCTGCACCACTAAAAACATACTTTTTCATCAGAAACTTTATAGGTTTAAGTTGGATCTCTTGAGCTGGAACTCTAGGAGTAAAACCAGTCATGTATCTTGGCCGCAGATGTAGGCCAGTTGGGAAACTCGGACGATATCCTACTTTATCAACCCCCATTCGGCACGCAGTAACAAAAGCATTGGTAAAAGCTAGCTAGCGCCGAGAATCCATCAAGTGTCCTATGAGAAACAACGATACCAATGGCGAATCCACCACATTCAAACATGTCGAGCTGGACAGTTACCAATGCTGTCTGGTCCGACTCGAACGGAAGATGGACCTGTTGATTGAGGAGCTCGGTTTCCTGCAGGTGCTCTACCCTCTCAGGAAATTGAGAGAGGCAGCTGTTTACTTGGACTTCCAAATATTCTGCTCCCTTGCCATTACAGTGGATCGAAGCATCATCTTTGAGGCACCTGCCTCCAAGTGGATAGAAAAGGGTTGAGATTTGGGATAGCGATTTCTGCAACTGTTTGCTTGTTTGTTCAATATTGTTGACACCATGTTCTTGACCTTCTCAAGCTAGCTAGAATTGAATGCTTTCCAATCCCAATGATCCATGTATGTATAGGATAGGATCACATTGTGGGTTCAGCGGAAAAATATAATACTATCTTGTTGATTCTAGTTTGGTGCAAAGAAATTTCTAATCCTGCAAAAACATTGTCTTTTGATTCTCTTTTGTAGCATTTAATTATTGTTCTTAGACAAGACGATGGAGATAAAATCAACATTTCTTCCAGCAGGAATGCATGAAAATTAATACAGCTTATATGATTTGAATTCATCCGCTTATTGTACCACATACCACACGGTCCAAAGCTGCCTTGAATAAGGCAGAGGCTATCCATTGCCCATCGAAACGTGGGCTTTAGCCCATCCTCTCATGAACCCCATCAGCCTAAGTGATGTTTTGCCTTTTATTTTAATTTTTAAAAATAAAAACATTAAATTAATTTTTTTTTATATTTCTAGATGGTTTTAATGTGCTAATACTAAAAATTAAATTTTTTATTTTAATTTTTAAAAATAAAAACATTAAATTAATTTTTTTATTTATTTCTAGATGGTTTTAATGTACTAATGCTAAAAATTAAATTAAAAATTCTATAATAGAATTACTTTAATATATTTTTAATTGAAAAGTCACCGAAAGCACATTAGTTACATAAGAAGTGAAGAATGTGTGTTTTTCATGCTATTTTAAGAAATCTATTTGGTATATTTGGATAATTTAATAAATTCTTAATTTCAATTTACCCTTGAGATTGAGATTTCGGTTGTGTCAATTTCCTTCACGAGGTCTTAACATCAAACAACTAGCAAGGAGTGTTTTTCAGTCGCTAATCTTTTGAAAATAATTTGACTACATATAATCCCTTAATTTCAAATAGAAGTTTTGAATGATCCCATCTACATCATTTATATTTATGTCATAAATAATGGATTGCTCCGATAATTAATATGTCAAGCAATTAATTAGTGATCTATCTATGTAGTAAACTAATCATGAATGCACTAATTAGTGGGATATTGCGGGATTCCAATCAGCTCCATGCACTCAAAAAAGTCATCACGGGGAGAATATTGGAGCGATTAATTACAAGATACCCATTTAATTTCATTTTAAGAATCTTTGTCTGGATTTGGGGCCCCATGCCACTTATTGTCAATGGCCACTGTGATTTCATTTAATCATTCTTGGAGCTTGGAATATATTTCGACTTGAATGCAATAATTTGCATCGCTGAAAAGCTATAACTTATGGTATTCCATGAAAAGTCGAAGTTTATGTTCATAATAATTTGGTCAATAATTTGTACAATGATATCATACTCCAAGTGATTTCAGTTTTACGGGGGGGAAGAGGTTTAGCTCGTGCATGAGAGAAGTAGGCAGGTTCGGAATTTAAAAAAATCATATATTTAAAAAATTTAAAAAAATATATACTTTTATTGATTTTAAATTAATGTATTTTTAGTGTTTTAAATTATTTTGATGTGCTAATATTAAAAATAATTTTTAAAAAATAAAAAAATATTATGAACATATATTTTAATATAAAAAATTATTTAAAAAATAACCATAATTATATTTAAAAAAATTCCTAGAAAACAGACCCTATTTATGAAGTAAATATAAGTTCTTACTTGATAATTTAGCAAATCCAAGAACATGGGGCGTTGTGAGACATTGCATCGTGAAAGGGAATTGGAGCCGCATTGCCACAGCGAGATGATATTTTTAACCAAGAAAGATGAAAAAAATATTGTTGAAAATTACACTTGTGTTTCGTGATAGAAAAATAATATTTTAGAAATACGAGGGACATATATATATATATATAAAATAAAGAAAACATTCTTCAAGAAAGAATGGTCTGTACTCTACTTCACAGTTTCCAAGAAACGAATTGAGCAGGCGAAGTGGAGGACCCGCAATAATGTAACGAATGTTAAACTTCATGAATAATTGTTTGAATTTGTGTTTACAATTTAAAAGTGAGGCATCATTGATTCTTCCCTCGTGGCCATGGCATCGCCATTTGGAAGC